TCCTTCCTTCCTTCCTTCCTTCCTTCCTTCCTTCCTTCCTTCCTTCCTTCCTTTCTTCTTTATGAATGCTAAGGCTATTGGTAGCTACTCATCAGTAAGCGTATATGTTATCATCGAGATCAAAAGCCCATCTCAAAAGAAACAGGTGATTTCAGTGTCCTGCTTATGGGCTTCTGAGTAACAGAATACCTGATAAGGTGGTCTTTGGTTTCATTGAGAACCCTTCATTATGTGTTTCTGTTCTCATACCAATCATTTGTATTTACCTACTCTGCATTACTCAGATATTAATCAAATGTGATTGCATTGCAAGTGGTTCCATCCAATTGCAAACTGGAAAGGAGAAACCTATGTAATGTTACATGGGTCAATCAGGTTTCTGCCTGATTCTGTCACGCCTATAGACAGTATTCTGTCTATAGGCGTGTTATAAAGCATCATAAAAGAATTTGAGAAATTATAATTCAAGATTTTGAAATAAAGGTCTCCGCTTAACACTTTCCAAAGTGTTTTCAGCATCCGTAAACATTAATGCCCTTTCTTTTAAAAATCTTTTCATTTATTAGTTATCTCATTCCAATCTCACAGTCTGAATAAGATACATACAGTATAGCGTAGTTTTAAACTTCTGCTTTGGTGATGGTACAATGTTCGAAAATGGAAAACATTTCTTCCTAATATTGAAATATTGCATCACCAAAGTATTTGGCAACTGAAGTTATTATAGACGTTAATTATTTGCTGGCTCTCGGGAATTAATCTAACACTCTTCCTTATACAGTCTGCTGGGAACCTCTCTGCAAAGGGCTCCGACACCTCATTGCAGCCTCACCCAGTCTGGAGAGTCTGGGGTGATCTCATGGGTACTCACTCCAGGCACCTTCTGCCCCTCTCCCAAGCCACGAAGAGAGCAGCAAGGCTAAAAGCATGAAAAATGCCTTCTCGTTTCTGCTAAGAAAACACCAGAGTGGTCTAAGTCTGGGAACTGTTAGTCAATCTGCTGTTGTAAAAGTTTGGATTCAGTTTTAACAGAGTTCACCTGAAACGAAGCTGGAGTCTTGAGGAACAATAGCTGGGAAATTAATTGGGCAAGGTTTTGAGACCGTCCAAAATGAAGTGAAACAAACAAAACGACACCCTTGGCTTACTTACTGCTCCTAGAAGTCTGCATGTGGTTCTTGCCTGAGACCTGGAAAACTGAGGATACAATATTGGGCAGAAACTACTGACTGTTTGGAATTCCCAATACCCTCCCTTCCTCAGACAACTAAACCTGCCTAATGGTAAGGATAATTTCCAACCAGCTACCAGATATTGTTTAGTTTTAAGTAGTCTTCCTGGACTGTCTGGAAGACCAAACCTACCAGCATCACCGTGTTTGAGTGCTAGAGTTTCTTGTCTTCACTGGATTGTCGGGAACTGTGGATAGGTGATGCTCCTTAGACGAAGGCGTTGGTCTTTTCCTCCATCCTGAAGCAATTCCTGGGGAAGAAGCTCTGAAAGCTTTCTGAGACCTCACCTTCAGCTGGCGGTTCCTCCTTTCTCTTTCCTGGGTTAGGCTTAGTGTGCTTAAACTTTCCCTCTTCACCTGCACTACTCAGGCTGGCCTCAGGGGCTGATGAAGAGTCTCAGTTGTCCGTAGCTGTTCTTCATGGGATGCTGACAAACCCATCTCTTCCAGGCATCCCTCTTCTGCCTGAAGAATGCCCCAGATATGCCACCCAAAGCAGCAAGGGCCCACTCTTCTTTTCAAACCCTAATCTGGATTAGCAATTTGACGAAGAGGTACCTCTTTGCTAAGTGAGCCCTGCCTACTCGCACTGGGATCAGCATCAGGTAGACTAGCAAGATGCCTGTTTCCAGCAGGTCTCTATGCCACAACTGGCCATTCTTTAAGCTCGACTGGCACCTGCTAATCTTTTGGAATGGTGTCCACATTGAAGCAGGTGGGCTGGGTACTGGCCTTGAAGAAGGCTCCTTTGTGGATGCACAATCTTAACACTGAGAGTTAAGTGGAGCAGTCCTTTTCCATATGCCCCCTTTCTCTACATTCAAAACAGCATGTCACAGGAAGCCTGTCTACTTGCTGGTGGGGTTTCAAGCCTCCTTTTCTGGCTGGGCTTGGGGTATGTGCCCTCATGCCATCCTTTGCATTAATGGGCATTTTAGGGGCCTCTCTCAGCTTCCACAAATCTCTCTTCCTGTTCACCTGCTCCCAAAACACTGCTGTTCATGAGTAGCTTATGGCAAATGCTGTAGGCACTGTTTGCTTGAATCATGTTCCAGGCGTTGCCTTCAGTCGGGGTTTCAGTTCCAGCTCTCTCCTGCCATGCTTCATATGCACGCCACACCTGGTGAACAAAGGGGTGGGAAATCCATGTGACTGTACATTTTCTGGAGTAAACACCAGCCTGGACTTCACCCTGTCCTGAAACTGCTTGTAATCCTCCATCTCTTCCACCTTCATCCGGTCACTGCTGAGGAGAGACCAAAGATAGTAAATATGATGTTCACAGAAAATTTGGTTGCTGACTCAGGCTTTTTCAAAACTTGACAAAAGTCTTCATCCTCTCCATCTCTGAGATAAGCAGCCTCGTATCTTTCAGCGGGATCAGCCATTGGAACGGACAGCGCAGTTGCTTGTATCTTATAGCTCTCTGTGCTCTGCGTGCAAGTTGGATTCTCTTCTCTGGCCTAACTCGTCTGACTTGTTCTATCGGGAGCCTCTCTCTCTCCCTTTCCAATTCCGATTTTCTACTTAAACTTGTTCTTTATCCTGAGGGGCTGCCCCCATACTTCTCTCCAGCTTCTGGCTGGCATCTTGATTGGCTGGCTCTGCTGTTCTCCCTCTGCAGCCTGTAGGCATGGCTCTCGAAGTCATTTTGCTGACATGCCCTACACCTAGCTCTTCCCTTTCGAAGCATCATTCCCAAGAACTAATGAAAGAAATAACATAACAGGTGCTCACTTGCCTGACTGCCCTTAGTTCTCTGCTTTTTATCTCAAAATGGTAAAAGTGAAAAGAGGTTCTATGTCTTTACCAAGAGTGTTTCTGGTGTTCCAGGATCCCACACCACGGCCACTGGGTAAGGAGTCTCACTCGCCCCACTGCCAGCCCTTCCTCTTCCAACCAGGAGGGATCCCTCTGCAATGCTGCAGAAGCGGCTGCTTTCATGGTACTCACTCCTTGCCGCCAGGGAGATAGCAGCAAGGAGAGTGAAAACAGGAGAACAGAGGAAAATGGCGTTACTTTTCTGATAATAAAAAGATAAAGAAAAGCACTGGGGCAGTTTACTGTAAGTGCAACAATTGCTGATCTTCTGTTATAGCCTGTTATATATTTGATCTAGATCATTTAAAATGCTGCTCTTGGAGTTTAATGGGATTTGATTCATGGCACTGCCTGACATTTGCTGGCTTTTAAATCTGTTTAATTTTGTTGCAGTAGTTTGCTATTATATTTAACCACTACAGAACTAGAACACAGATAGTTTAAAGAAGCAACATTTAACTTTTATATAGGGCTTATCTGTACTACCCAGCTGCCCCATCACCAGAACAGGCTGGAAATCAGTTTTACAAGTCTGAAACTGACAACATTAATCCCCCACTCAGCAAGCAAAGTGGCCTCTGGGCACAATTTCTCTGCTCCACTTCTGTTGTGCTCCCTTGAATGGTCCTGTCTGTTTGGGTTAGTGCATTTCAGTTTCTACGGGCTAACCCCAGTTACTTCACAGAGGCAGAAACACCCCAACAATGTATACCATGGGAACCATGAAAGAAAAATAGTAATTTAAAAAAATCTGCCTGATTTCTAAACTCCTATTTGCAAAGCAAGTATTAAAACCGTTACACTATTTTAACATTCATGGTAAATGTAGCTCTGAAAGAGAAAAGAGACTAATAAGCCAGTTAGAAAATATTTTGTTTCACTTTAAAGCTGGTGGTTGTGCTCAAGGTGACATAAAAAGCGCTCCTTCTAATTTTCTCCCACAACAACAATCCTGTGAGGTAGGCTGAATGGTGAGAGAGAATGACTGCTCCCAAATTATCCAATAAGCTTCCACTGCTATGGCTGGACCAGAATCTGGGGTCTCCCTGGCCGTAGTCCATCACTTCAGCCACTGTAACATGTAGGGCTAGTCACACTTTCATTTTATTTTAATTAGTGCAATGTTTGAATAATGGTTGTAAAAGAAAGTTTTTAGGCTTTTAAAATGCCTTTTCTCTGCTAACAATGGCCTTGTGCTTTTGTAAGCACACTTGCACAGAAGGTGCCATTACATCAAAGCGAGAAAGACACATAAACAGTAAGACTTAGAATGAGAAAGTATCCATGTAATACTGATGAGGAATATACCATTTTAATGCACATGTGTAACAGAATGCAGGAATGTATAAAAAGTTTCTAAACTCTTTGCTGGGGCGTATACTCTGCCAGGAGGTTGAAGCCCGTTCAGTTGGCTGTCAATAAACTTTTGCCGAGAAATCAATCTTGCTTAGAGTTGTTCCTTGAGAGACATCTGACCTGCAAATATTTCACCTAACAATTGATTTTTTTTTTCACAGTTCCGTGATCCATGTTTTCAGGCAGTAGGGCAGGTTGGAAGCATACGGCTTTGTTTATACTAAAGAAGAGGACAATCTGATGAAGATTTAAAATAAAAAGTATTTTAAAGTATTTTTTAATTTCAAGTTTTGGATTTTAAAACACTCATCAAATGTAGCCTATCAATTACTTTCGGAAAGCTAGAGAGCTTTTATTATAATCTTCTTGCCAGTTCTATTCACAATTAACTTTACTATTCAGATTGTCTCTGATTTTTTAATCTTCAGTAAACCTTTAGAGATATTCAGAGGAAGATGAATAAATAACAATAGTCATGTCCATATGCCTAACCATGTATTTTAGTTATAGCTGATTTCCAGCCTGGATCCTAAGCACATTTAAAATGGATGTTGCTCCTTCAGATTTAGTTTTCATTCTTTTAATAATATATTTTTGCATAATAATGCATATTTTCTCTTTTGAAGAAGTAAGACTTTAATATAATGATTGGGTCACAGAAGATTCCTAAACTTTGATAATCAAACTTTTTTCTGTAAATGTTGATGCTTTGGATTATAAAGTTGTTGCTATGCTTCTATGCTTCTTTCTATGTCTAAGATCCAAGTGGCTTCTTCCTTGCTTCTTAATGTCATGGTTTTCAGTTATTTTAATGAAGGATTTGTTAACTTGGCAGTGAAGAAGTGAATAAACTTTGTAAAATTCTTTGTAAAATTATTGGCAGTAGATTAACTATAATATTTTAGTATTGCTTTAATTTTTTTACATATTATGCATTTTATATATATTTATAGTTTTAAGGTCTTTGTAAGCCGCCAGAGTCCCCTATTGTGGGGGAGACGGGCCGTGGAGAAATCCAATAAATAAATAAAATAAATAAATAAATAAATACACTGAAGTTTTCAGCTATTTGTAGCTAAATGTCCGATTTCCCAGACAGCTCATAAAAAGAGACTAACAATGGATCTTGCGTGCATTTTCGAGAGTTGCATTCCACCTTTAAGAAAGAGAGAGATTCTAGATGTTATCTACAGTATGGCTTTCTATTTTCCTCCTTTCTGTTTCCTGAGAATAGAAAGTCAGGCAGAGCCAGTTCCTACCGGAGAGGGATCCTCTCTCCACAGTTCACCTGCTCCATCTGCCTTTGTGGGGTGGACTTCTCCTGCCACCATGTCCATAGCTATTCCCACTAATGGCTACGGAGGAACAATTCCGGAAAACGAAAGATTAGGCAAATGAAAAGCATCTCACAAACTAGTTCAACTGCTGGGGTTGGGGGTGGGGTGGGGACAGGGAAAGGGTAGTGTAATACTGTGCATTTTGATTTTATTAATATATTGGTGGCCATTTCTGAGACAGAGAAAATGCTAACTAACTCTCTGCCACCACCTAGGGATTTTACAGATCTCTGCCAAATAGGCATATGTGAGATGGGTAAACATATACATTGATTGATTGATTGATTGATTGATTGATTGAATGAATGAATGAATGAATGCCTGTTCTATTACGGCTAGGTGGTACCAGAACTGCTATCCACTAGTCCTTGAGACCCCAGAAAATGACACCAGCATAAAATTGGCTGCCCCACTGCCATGATGTTGGCACTGCTGCTGTCCTTATTTATGTTGTACAGGGAAAGCACATTAAACCTTGATGGATTCCTCCAAGTTTCTTTCCCATCCCCAAATCTCATCAGCTGACAGGAAGCATCCACCAATCACTCTCCTTAATGTTGAAAGGATGGGGATGGAGGAGGAGTTGAGTTTTGACATATGGTGGGTTTAGTCATTCCTTAAAACTCACTCTGATTTTGCACTAGGGCTTTGTATAAGATCGTTTGAAGTGAACCTGCACAAAAGTCATTCAAACACTAAACGTGTATTCAGAAGGAGATGAATGGTACTTAAACCCATGTTTCTTCTGGAACAGTATTACACCATATTCAAAAGGAGCCCAAACAACAGCTGATTGGTGTGGGGAGAAACAGCAGAGTAAGGGCCCACTCTCTCTCTCCCACTTCATAGTGTAGCCCCCCACAACTACTATAAGTCAACTGTCTGAGATCACCTCAGAGGTCTGGTAGATACGTGTGGGAGAGGAAGAGAACCCAGTTTGAAAGAATTGGACTCTCCCCCAACCCAAAGTAGAGTAACCCAAGGATCAGAGGGGAGGTGTGTCCACACCAGGATGATCCCACCCATTAGGGTCACCTGACTATACTACCAATGGAATGGCCAGCAAAGCACCATGTCAGTTTGTATCCATGACAAACTTGTGTTGGGATAAGAGGAAAAACATTACTGTACTTTATACCAATATATCATAAGGATGATCCTCAAGTGTGGGCTGAGGATCAGATGAAGGCAATCTCATGAGGATACAGCAGAAAGAAGAAGTTGCCAGGGAACCTCAAAAGAAGGATAATGAATAACTGTAGTGTAAATATATCCACAGGTTCAGTGGTAGAACACACCTCTGACAACTTTAGGAAGCTTGGGAAAAAACCGTTTCCTGAAATCTTGAGAGAGATGCTTGGTGAAATGAATCAATGGTCTGAGTAAGATCCATTCAACTTTGCTGAATTAAAATGCTCACCACTCGTGCCTGATTCAGCCCCAAACAATGCTAGCGTAAACACTGTCGTCCCCTTGCTAATTCCTATTCTGCCTCTGCTGTTGTGTCTATTGTGCCTCATTATCAAATGAGGTTAATCTGATTTGTAAGTGTGCCAGTAATTATAGATAAGCTGAGTTTTGGCTGTGGTGTCATCCTGTTTCAGCATGTCACCAGACAGCGAGGAAACCTCCTCTAATCAGGGCACTGGACCAGGAATGAGGCGGGTTTGATTTCAGGACTTAGACACCCGAGTTTTATGGGCAACAAGAATAATATAAAGTTCATTTTCCGACCAACGCGTGCACTTACAACCAAATTTTGTGCACCTGACAACAACGCATGCTGGAGTGAGTGTAATGCTGGCGTTGCTGCACAAGAGAACTTTATCTAAATGAGGTGGCAGCAATCAGGGATCTTCACAATCTCTCTCTCTCTCTCTCTCAGTCACGTGTTCATTTAGCAACCACTTAGCTTCTGATTTAAGGAACGGATTGTGGTTGCTAAACGAGGAGAGGGTGTAATTTAAAAAAAGGAAAGCAAAAAAAAAAAAGTGACAGATAAAGGGAATCTGGCAAAAAGTACAAATTACCCCCACCCACATCTTTCCCAAATAAAATAGTGGGGTAACAGATTTTACACACCTTGGGACAATATCAGAATAAGAGGGAAAATATTATTTTAGACTAGTAGAGCTAATGAAAATGTAAGCTGATTTCATTCATTTGCTAGGAATGAAATAAATGCAATGCCATGGGAACAAAGGGTGAAATTACAGTTGTCAAGATATGATTGTGCCTTGGTAAATGCTAGTAAGAACAGAGCGTCATGTGCTTTTCTATGCTTCTACGTTCCTATTTATGTACTGTGGCAGTAGGTGGCAGCACTTGTCTGAACTTGTCTGGGTTTGGAAACTAAGCAGAGTCAGGCATAGGTAGTATTTGGATAGGAGACCACCAGGGAATTCCAGGGTTGTGGACTGAATGCGGAAGCTGACAAAACATCCCAGGGGGCGGCAACGGCAAATACTTTTCTAATGCTGCCCAGAAAACTGCCTGGAATGATAGGCATCAGCAGGGGAGGGGTCAAAGTCTGCAAGAGGGCCGGCACAGCATCCTGAGCCAAGCCACGCTCTTTTGCACATGTCTGTGATGGAGATGTACATGCAAAAGGAGCAGGAATTGTGAATTGGTATCCACCTTCTTGCAGATTTTGACTCCCTTGGAGGGGGCTGGAGGAGTCAATAGGAGGCGGGCTTGACCCCAGGACATCTTTACCTTTAATTACATACTCCTGTCTCACAAAGATGAGGTGGTGTTCAATAAATAAAAACCAGTAAATCATACAATAATAAAATACCTAACAATATAAAAATAATGAAATTAATAATTTTAAAAAATAACTTAGAAAGCTATAGCTTGGAGATTAGCCTTTGTTTTCAGCTGAGTGTACTTTAAAATGCCTGGTTTCCACTTATCCCTGTTTCATGACAGGTATTAACACCGGACATTGAGACAATATTGAATAAATGCGATGTTTGTCCTTACTGAGCCTGTGAGGACTAACCTAAATATGCACATTATATTGTGGTTTCAGTTAAGTAGGTGTACTAGTATGTGCAAAATAGCCCTTAGAACATGTAATGGTAGTCTTTTAATTACTGTATGTGGCTGAAATATATATCAGTTAGTTCAGATGGTAAACCTTTGGGGCAGGAGTTGTGCTGACCCTTTACTCTGGAAAGAGATGGGGAGAAGAAATACTCCTTCTGGGGATGTCACTATTTTCCTGGAACCCAGGGTATTTCTTCTTCTTCTTCTTCTTCTTCTTCTTCTTCTTCTTCTTCTTCTTCTTCTTCTT